AGATGCTCCGGGGATATAATTGGATTTGCTGACGACACAGCTATATTTTATAAATCTGATAAGTGGGAGAATCTGAAACTTGAAACTGAACACGATTTCGAAATTATAAAAAAATGGTTCGAGCACAAACTACTTACAATCAACACAGACAAGACTCATTACTTACCGTTTAGCTGCAGCTCACCTGGACTTCCCGATTTCCAAGAATTGAAAATAGAAAGCACCACTGAAAAATTTGTCATACTACCTGTAAAAAAAATTGAATACTTGGGAATCGTCATTGACTATCGCTTAAAATGGGATCTTCACATAGCATACGTATTAAAGAAACTAAGAACCATTCTATTCAAATTCAGAAAACTCAAAGAAAACATACCTGTGGGCCTGATGAGAATGTTATACCATGCATTAGTAGAAAGCCATCTACGCTACGGGATTCTAGCATGGGGTGGAGCTTTGAGGACGCACATAAACCAATTAGAAGTGATACAGAGGAGATTCATAAGGCTGATATACTCTAAAAACCTCAGATATCCTTCTGACAAACTTTATTCTGAATCACAGACATATTCCATTTAATGCGGCAATGTTGCTCAATTGGCCTCAATACTATTTCATCGAGCACCGCCAAATCTCTGACCTATCACTCTGACCTATCACACATGGTTTACCATCTTTCGGAGGGCACCATATTGAAATTATTTTCATAACATCTCTTTAGAAAAATCCTTTCATTTGATAATAATACCATGTGGGTGCATAAAAAAGCTATTCCGCCATCTTGGGCGAAACGTCATATTGGATTCAGAGTATTATGTTAGTTTTCGTGTTATTCAAGTATTTTACGGACCAAATTGAAATATGTCATATTAAGGCCATTAACATCCCTCCTAGTGTACACTAACATGTTTGAGGATATGTATGATTTTGCCCGAAGTATAGAAGGCAGATGTTTAGAGTCAAAAATGTTCCCATGTCCTCTTTCATGTTCAACAAGGACTGTGGGGTTTTTGACATTGAGTTTCTTAGAGTCGCTCATGTATTCTGAAACTCGCGTTCTAAGATATCATCCAGTTTGACCAATATAGCATTTGGGACAACTTCCACAGTTCAATTAGAACACTATGTTGGATTGCAGGTTTTGTGGTGTTTGAGTTTATTGTTTTGAAAAAAATACATAGCATTCCAATTTTCCCAGACAAATTTTCTCTATATATGGTATTTTTTGGTTGTTATATTTTGAGAAGAGAAACTTCTTTCTTCAATTCAAGTTTTGGTTGATATGGAAAATATATATTTCAAGAACAATGTCAGAGTACGCATCTGTTTTCTTTACGATAATCCATAAACAAATTATTTGTCATTCTGATGTTATCGATATTTTGCCAAAGCGTCATTTAATGACATTCCAGAAATTGTTCAAAAATTCTCCTTTGCAAATAATCAATGCCAATGCAAATCATGTAATGATTGTTGTGATTGTAGTGCTTCAAAATATTTCCACTCTTCTATAAAAGTGAAATAATAATAATAATAATTGATTTTATTGACAAAATGTAGTACAAGGTGTAGTAGGTATGAATAATACAGACAATTCTTAAATGATATCTCCAACATTTTTTTTCAAAAGGCAGAATTCAGGCTCTGATGTTGTCATTTGAGTAACGCAATCAGAACTTGAAGATGAGAAAAAATTATAAAATATATAGAATCACAACCTTAACAATAATGTTTTCGTCTCAATGCAATGATGTTTCTGGAAATTTTGTGCCTGCTTTTATGGAATTGTACTGTAGACATTCAATTTCGTAAAAAAAATCATTCGAAAGTGACTTTAATGAATCAAGAACTCGATTATACAGCCGAGATATATCATATAAAAAGGAGCATCAAAATTTGAAGTTCGTGAATCGAATGTGAGTTCGAGAGTAATCTCAATCATCCACTGTATCTTTTTCAGATGATGTACTTTTTTGCTTCAGGGAAAACCATAAAAGATACCTACAATACCACGTTGGCAAAATATAATTCGATCTTCAAGTTACAGTATACAAAATGAAACATGGGCAGTCATAAGTACCAACTTTCAATTGCGCACCAATTTTGTAACGTTTGACAGATTTGTTGCTGGTCATCCTAGTATTAATTTCAATGGAACACAAGCTCACAGACGAATTCTTGCTGATTTATTGGATTCATTCAACCCAACGATACATGTCGATAATCATAACCGAATAACTATACATACTGCCACAAAAATACAACACTCCTGCTCTAACTCAGAGGGTGTCAACTACTTTGTAATATTCTCAGATTTTTCAGATTATGATGCCATAGTCATCATTGTGAAGCCAGCCAAGCCATCGTAGAGATACGCAACACAGGTTACGTTATGTAAGGTCCAAAGTGAGTGGGTCTATTCGACCCTCCACTACAACCCGTGAGAGTTTATTGTGGCTCACAGCTATTCACACTCGACCAAATAAACCCAGCTTCGAAGAAGCCGATTAGTCTGTATGGTGAGTGGTATTTCAGATCAGATGGTGAGAGTACGGTTCTGCCGAACTCTAAAAACCTGATATGGTCCCCAGCGGGACAGGCACAAGGAATATGCTCTGCTGTTTCATCGTTAATGAGGTAGTCGGATAGTCAAAGTGTAAGATTCTCACCTAGATACCCGCGACAACCTTCCCGTGTGATGCTTTTTGCACGTCAGCTTCACCTGACGATGCCTTAAATTAAACCGTGCAGGGCTTTTTCGCCTCTGGTTTTTGGTGAAACATCACTTGAACACAAATGGTTGCTAACCTGCTCATGGGCAGTTTATTTCTCACCTGGAACAGATTCTGCGTTCGCCGCTCAACAATTTGGTACAAGATGGTTTCATAAGGTACCCCGCTCTAGAGGAGACAACTCAGTCGTTTCCTGGCTGCACCACCAAACCTTTTTTTAGGTTCAGTTTTTGGATCAGGAGTTGGAGAGTTGAGAAGCTCTCGCTCCTGATTTAAATTTACAGGGAGGTCAGTTGGAGTCGTAAGCTCGACATCCATCTCCTCTGTAGACTCAGCGTCAGAAAGAATTTTTAGGTTTACTCTGTCCATAAAAGTCCTACGAGTAGCTAGGGAGAGGAGGTCAGTTACGGCAGAACCCCGCATTACCATGACAACGCGATGCTACGACGAGAGGGCGCCCGGTATCTTGAAGGTTCCGTAGAGACAGCTGATAGGCTCAGTGTAATTCATCCTCTCGGCACGGATACACACACCTTAGGATTGAGCCATCATTAGGATGCCATTCAGTTCTGGAATAACAAAACCACAAGTGATTCTGTCATTCCCCATCCAGCGTAGCTACGTGGAAGTAGGCATCCGATGGCCGGTTTGCTCAACCCCCACATCCCAAGCCAATGCACTCGCGGAAAACAGCACACACAGTGATTCGGGCAGTGAAAAATGAACAAGGACAGCCAACCCGCCAGATACGCAACATATGGAAACCTTTAATCAAACGGATAAACTGTCAACTCCCACTAAATCGGTGAAGCGAGGGTAAACAGGATAGTCGAGTCTTCACCCGAAGACGACTGTGGATACTAACAATCGAAACGTCGTGAAGTACTTTGGTTTGGAATCTTTTCAATTTTCAACTTTATCTTTATTGTTCAATTTTTTGCTAATTTTCATTTTATTTTAATTTCGTTTCACGGTTTATTGCTTAATATAATTGTAATTTTCAGCAATTCATTTTAATTTTGATTATTCTTTCAGAAATTTCGAATCATATTATACCATATCAGGCGATGAAAGTCTACCAACAGCTCGCGTAACACCTACATTACCCTTCCAGACAGTAGGTGTGGACTTCGCGGGCCCATTTCTAATAGAAACTAAGGCGGGTAGAGGTAATCAAACATCAAAATGTTATATTTCGCTTTTTGTTTGCTTTGTAACAGAGGCCATTCATTTAGAATCATTTAGATCTTTAATGACTGAAGCTTTTCTAGCTGCCTTTAGGCGTTATAATCGCTCAAGATGTTGAAGCCTTCCAAATATTTGATGATATCGTGGTTTAAGGGTTCTTTCATGATTTTTGATATCACTGAAAGCGAAGCGACGGGTCTATAGACATTTAGAAGAGTTTTGTTGCCATTTTTGGAAATGGGCTGAACGCGAGTAATCTTTCAACAAGAAGGAAAAACACGTTTCTTGTAAGACAAGTTGGAAAATCTGCAGAATACTGGTGCGACTTCATTTGCGCACTTTTTAAGTACGATGACGGGCACTACATCAGGACCAGATGGCTTGTTGATACTGAGCTGTTTCAAAATTCGCCTGACTAGATGCTATCGAAAAGTGATTTTCGGCATTGTGGATTAAAGTGTGAGAATAGTGGGTGGTGCTTATCCCAGAAAATCGACTGTGGAGTGGGACGCAAATTGTTAAGCTAGTTGATATGCTTTTTCTATGGCTGTTGTTGCAATTGAACTATCTGCTTATGTTATTGGTGGAATTGTGTATTTTGATAAGTTCTGAATAACAGCTTCAGCTACCGACCAGAAGGACCTGGACCTGTTGGAATTGGCAAGCAAGTTATCCCAAATTTGTAATTTTTGTTGAAACAAGTTTTGCGTTAGAATGTATTTTCATTGAAAGAGGAATATCTGCATCCATGGATGATAGAATAGGGATGGCCTAGTCTTCTGTGCTACAGATCACTTGCTATTGTTCCTTATTTCCATGTGCTTCCTCATTTACAACTTTGTCAGCTGTTAAAATATATAATCATTTTGAGTAATCACAATTCAGAAGGAAATTTTCTCCTTTTATCTCCATTTTGTGTTTCTCCAGGATTATCTTCTTCCTTTTTCTGTCATTTTTGATGCAGATAGTAAATTATGCTACATATTAGGTACTATTAAGGCTTCAACAGACACCTTCTTTCCTTGGCATTCAAACTTCAAAGTTCCTTCCTTATCAAATTTTCACCATTTGCTATCTGGATTGTTACATACTGGGGTAGAGATTTTATTTCGGCCATGTGTTTTTCAATATCTTCTTTCACAAAGTGGTCACTCGCTCCCGAATCAAGAACAAAGTATATCTTGTATTTGATATCACATAAATTTGCTGCATTCAATGGTATTCCACTATCATTTCGTTTCTCATCAACGTTATTTGCCTGCTGCTGATTATGTTGGCTTTAATTTCTACTTCTCGTACACCGATATCCTGGTCTTTCTCTAACTTGGCCTCTAGTATTTTTAGGACATTTTCCAATGAAATGGTATATACTTCCCCATCTGTAGCATCTTCTATTATCAGTTGCCTTGAAACTTGTCTCACTGTCATACTTTTGACTCTCCTATGACAGTAACTTTAATTGTTCATCTAGTAATCTAGCTTTCGCAAAATCTATGGTCAACTCATCGACTGTTTCTAGAGCTGTTACGATTGTACCATATTTTGGTTGTAATGTCAAAAACAAATGATATACTCTATCACTTTCATCTAAAACAGTTGATGCAATGACTTCGGTTTCTGTGAGTGCAAGAATATGAG